AAAAAAAAAAATCTTTCAAAGACCACAATTTTTTTTTACAAGTATTCCATCGACCTGACTAGCTATACCAATTTTCCCTTTTTTAGTAATTAGTTTATGTAATTTTTCAATAAAATATGCATACACTATTTAAATAAAAATTGTAATAGAAGTCATTCGTTTTGTATTTTTTATAAGTTGTATGGGCTGTAACCAAATCAAGGAGTAAAAATGTACGACAATGTATTTAATAAATTGTATTTTATTTTATGTTATTCCTTTTGGATACAACCCATACAGATACAGGCATACATGTAATGTTCTTATACAGTCTGGGTCTTAGAGAGTTTTATTAAAATATTAGTCATTGTCAATGGCTTTTATGAACGCAAAACCAATGCCCTCAATGATGAGATCGACGTGTAAAATAAAATATACAAAAATGCAGCTCCCTTCTATTTACAACTTTTGTAAATACCAAGAAGCTATATTGGAAATAACCTAAGTCTCGTCTCCTTCTTACTACTCAAGTTTAAATTTGCTTCACAATATGCCAGCGGCGCATGCTCTACCTGATGTATCACTTTATTATCCATTACCTTGAACAGTAAGATATATTCATGAACTTCGCATTCATCTTTAACTTTTAACTTCTAGTTAGTAGAAGAAACTGAGGTCGAAACATATGCTAGTTTTGTGTTAATTACTTAATTATGTTGTAGTATATATTCTTACCAATATTGAGCTTTTTGTGCTTCATTTTGATATGGTGTCAAATATAGGGCAACATGCATGATGCTATGAAAAGGGTGTCTTAAAGGAAGGAACTTCCCAAGATCATCAACAAATTAAGGACTCTAACAATATACCCAACATTTTGTTATTATCATAAATATCATGGCATCATCATCCTCGAGTGAAAGGCACGAGGTGTTCCTGAGTTTCCGAGGAGAGGATACAAGGAAAACTTTCACGAGCCATCTTCATGCTGCTTTCAAAAGGGTAGAAATAAATACCTACATAGACTACAACCTTGAGAGAGGGGATGAAATATCTGGAACCCTTCTTAGGGCCATCGAAGATGCAAAGCTCTCGGTGATTGTCTTCTCCAAAAACTTTGCGACTTCAAAGTGGTGTTTGGATGAGGTGAAGAAAATAATGGAGTGTAGAAAAACAAGGGAACAGATGGTAGTGCCTGTGTTTTATGACATAGAGCCTACCCATGTACGAAATCAAACGGGAAGCTTTGCAAGTGCGTTCGATAGACATGACCAGCGATTTGTGGATAGGCCAAACAAGGTGCAAAAGTGGAGGGATGCTCTTACAGAAGCAACTAATCTCTCTGGCTGGGACTGCTCCGTTGACAGGTATAAATAAATAAATAAATAACTTCTCATATATTAAAAAAAATTAGTTATCTATATTAAATTTTACTAATTTCATAATATTTTTTCTAAATTATTCTTGTTGAACTTCACATGCAATCTAGATTTTAGTATAGTGGGTATGGATAATATGCAGCAAATTTTGTAATACCTGTTATAATGATGATGTTCATTATACTTATGGGCAGATTGGAATCTGAAATTGTGGAGGAAATTGCAAAGGATGTGTTGCAAAAATTAAATCGTGTGTACGTTGGAGATCTAGATCAAGAAATTGCAAGGTATGGGCAACTTGCAAGGCATCAAATGGGATATTTTCAAAGCACACCTGATGCAGCTCATTGGCAAAATTATCAAGCAACTGTCAAACACATCAGAAAACTTCAAATGGAGAGACATCATCGCTTGCTTCGCATACCTCCCAACATGTACTCTGAGGCCAATTCAAATGCAAACAACGAGTACTACAATTTATGGTCTAATATATTTAGATTTTCATAATTTATATATATATATATAT